GTGATCAAGATTCATGCAATTTTGAAATCATGCCTCAATTGAATATAATCAATATCAAAATATCATGTACTTGGGTTCAACAAACCAAACCTAACATACAACTCTAGGGTTCTTCATACCCAGGTGAGAGAGGGAGTTTACTCCGTAGAGGGAGAAGAGAAATCAGCTTCAGATGCAGAAATCATCATGTGGAGGATGAAATTTAACTTCTGGTAGTCAGTCGGTGCTTCTCTAGGTTTCAATCTAGCTCCAATGGTGTCAAAACTTCATCTAGGTCACGTTAGAGGTTGGGTTCGTCACTTTCTCTCTCTCAAACTCTATTTTCATCTCTCAAACACTAATACCCTTCTCAAATACCCGAAATTGGGTTAAAACTCAGTTTTTCCTGATTACACGGCCAGACCACACGGCCGTGTAGAAATCCAGTATGCTCTTGTAACTGTAACTCGCAAAACGCTGCGTTGCACTTAGTTAGTCGAGGGAAGTCACACGGCCGTGTGGAATTCAGCCTTGCCCGTGTGACTCTGTTGGAAAACTCACACGGCCAAAGGGTGCCCTTGCACGGCCAGTACGGGTATGGTTGCGTGATTCCAGTTACACGGCAATATTGCACGACCGTGTAAAATTGGCTCTAGCCCGTGCACGAGCACATCGCACGCCCGCGTAAAATCATGGATGCGTAAAATCCTCAGCTTTTCGTCGAATGTCCTAACTTCGTCTAATCGACCTCGAACTGTTCCCAAACCTTCATTCACGTACTAGGACCTGAAATATCACCAACAAGAACAACCTAGCGTGAAATCGGTTTAAAACACGAGAAACGAGCCTCACACAGTATAAGAATGGTGGAAAAAAACATGAGCAAATATCGAGTCATCACTAGTTGAACGACCATATATGTTGGTCTTAGATCTTGCAATCTTAATTCCTTAAATAATTGCAGGCTCATTGACTCGCTATGACACAACTCCTAAAAATGGATTGCGCCTAATAGTGGCCAAATATTGCAAAAGACTCTCCAATCAATCTAATGGAATTATAAACTTTGAAATCCTCAATCAAAGAACTAAATTCATGTTTCAAGCTCCTAAACTCATCTAGAGATCATGGGTACTTACTTGGATTGAAGAAACTTGCAGAAAAATGAGAAAACGAAGAAGAACGACGACGCTATGATGGTGGATATGGCCGACGTTGCTCCTCCCTTGAGCTTTTGAAATTTTGTTTGACTGGGCTTTGTTTAGTAGGTGCTGGGTAGGTTGTGTCCCAAATTTGAGGTGAAATTTTTTAGATTTGGAGGTGGATTTGGTGATTGGAAGTTTATATTTTTTGGAGAAAATTTGAAATTTAGAGAGAAGGGAGAGGATTTTCGGCTAGAGAGAGGGAAAATGAAAAATGAAGGTCAGTGGGATATGCAAGGCCGAAATTTGGCCTTTTATAGGGGAAGGGGGAGTGACCGTGTTGCAGCGGTGGGCACTGCCATGGCTTCCTCACGCGTTCTTTTTCGGATACCATCATTTTTGCGTTAGAACACTTTATCTTGATAGTATGAAAGGTGGTTTCGTTCTATTTTTCACGTCTTAAAATTCTTTATTCTCGTCATAAGATTGAAATTTGCTCCAATTGTAACACCTATCCAAAGGATACAATGTTTTCCTCCAATGAGTAACTGAAAAATTTCAAGCCATAAACAAACTTTGAAATTGAAAAGCTAATCTAGAAAAGAGAAATCAGGAATGTCTCTGCGGTAGCACTTTTAGTTAAAGTCATTAAGTGTAACGCCATACATGGCATGCCTCCCATGGAGCGCTCTATCTTTTATGCCTTTGAGCTAGGCTCAGCTAGGTTCCCTTTTAGTTGATATTTTGACCAAGTGTCACTTCATCTTCCTATCTCGTAACACGGATATGGTTTTTGAAATCATTGGGTTGATGCTGATTGATAAACTCTTGATACTCCTTTGTTGCCTCATATTCCAATTCCTCGATTCTTTCAAGCATCGTATGTCCCTTGTATTGGCTATCCTCAATGCCGTTTTAGCTTCCTTGAGAGTTGAGAGCGGGAATTGGCGGAACACTCTCCTCCATACTTTGGCTCTAGATCATGGTGATGAACTATTATGTTTGTCGAATCCTCAAGATGAGTTGAGAATAAAAATTTGGCCTCATTTTCTAGATTCTCCTATTTATACTCCTCATGCTCATCACTTCTTTTGATTGGTTTCTCCACTTTATGCAGTAGTTTCCCTACGTGCATGGTTACTTCTCCATTAACAATATCAATTTTTGCTCCAGTAGTGACTAGGAATGGCCTTCCAAAGAGGGTTGAATACTCTTTGCTTATCTCCATGTCAACCACAAGGTAGTCAGGGAAGAAAATGAACGGGCCCACTTGGGTGCTTAGGCCTCGAACATCCCAAGAGTTTTACATGGTGTGTTATTGGCTAGCATGATCTCTACGTTGGCGTACTCCACGCGTGAACCTCGCCGAAACCTCGTCGCTGGTGAAAAAATCATTGCCAAAACTCCCTAAAACTCTGGCGAAGGTGCGCCTAAGAGAGCAAAGGGATGATAAGAATGTGTTTGATTTTCGATTTGGGTGGGCAAAAGTTGATCGAAACATCAAAACCCCTCAGGAGCTGGAATCAAACAGAAAATCCGTTCCGGTCCATTTTCTACTCGATTGACCCATTTGTGCCCCAATCTCAAGCACAACACGTACAATGACCAATTCAAAGCAACCATGGGCATAGATTGCACTTAACACTCACACACTTGACTCAACCACACACAAAAAGAGGGAAACAAGGAAAATAAACACAAACCTACATTGATTGACTCCCAACAAGCGTTTTATTTTACGTCCTTATCCAGACGGCGTCATATCTCATGCTTTGGAAAATGAAGCCTCTGGGAGTAGATCCATACATTCTCGAGGCGAGGCTTGTCACCTCAAATGTCCTCTGTCAAAGGGTGGGCATCTTTTTTTTTTTTTGCGTTGTTTTTGGAGCGAGGCAACAAGAGACCTTTCAGCTTATGTCTCCATTGCTTCTTGGATTTTCCTTTGGGCTCTTCACCCGGCTTAGAATTTTGCAACTCATCACGAACAAGAGGAGCACATTTGGGGTTCACCTTGGGAGGATCACCCCCTTAACCACCTTTAAATTTCATTTCATTAACATGCATCGAGTTATCATTGTTAACATCTACAACATCATTAGTAACCCCATTCCCAACTAACTCAACCTGGTTTCCATTCCCATCAACATACTAACAAGCTACATCTTGAGATACAGTTACTGAAACTACCTCTACTTTAGCCTTTGGAAGCCATTTCTTCCCACTAGCAGCAAAATGAGAAACTACATCATGTCCATATATATCTCACACTATGACATACAACAGGTTTGTTTAGGTATTCAACCTCAACTTCAAATGGTGGATCATCATCTGGATAGAGTCTTATTTGGGTACGAAACTCACAGTCAGTCGCTAAATCTTCACAGACTTTTGCAAATCCTAGTTGATCTCCTACTCTAGTTGTTTTATCCATCCAGAGCGGAAGACCAACTATACTAGCTACCCATTCGAAACCCTCAAATGAGTGGTATTCAAGTGGAATCGTCCATATATGTACCCAAATAGGAAGCGTCTCAACCAATGGCGTGACAAGCTGAATCCTCGGTTCCCACTTTCAGAAGAAGATATGATTCCCCTGAAAATGCCATGAAACCGATTGAAACACCCATTTACTCGTTACTGCAAGGAAATTGAAAACCCGATAGTCTCGGCCCAAATCGAGACACCTGAACCACTCCAACTCTTCCCCACAAACCAACCGCCCATTGCTGAAGAAGAGTAAGCTTGGTAAGAGGTCCAACGAAAAGCCCAATTAAACAACCTTTCCACCCCACCCAGCCGCTCTTTTTCACCTCACAGGGAAGTCTAAAACAATCCTTCACTTTCTCTAGAGGTTGATATTGCATCCGGTTCGTAGGTGCTACATCGAATAGTTGTGCACAAGACACTTCTCCCCCAATCGGAGGGTTAGCCGATGCAAGAGTCGCCACGATAATCGAGGATCTACTAGAGAAGACACAAGAACATGAGGAATTTAGAGAGAATTTTTTTTAGAAAAAAAAAAATTATCTCTTGATTTTATTCTATAAGACTTGACTTTAAAAAAAAAATTATTGAAGTGACCTATATCTCTCACTCTTACCTAGCAAACCTCGCCACGCACCGGTAATGATTCTTAGATAACCTCCAAATCCAACAAAAAAAAACAACTTTAATTGTTGATCCAAAATCCATTTTTAGCAGAACTAAGCAGAAAAAACAATGGAAAAACTCTAAGCATAGGAACAGACTTGGCTCTACTCCATTAGAAAATAGAACGGGAGGAGGAAGAAACAGAAAGCTCAGATCCAAGCGTTGATTTTTCCCCTTTTTTTGTTTCTGGGCTCCAGGCTGGATATGTAAGGTTCATAACAAAGAGAAAGACACCTCAAAGGAATGACCACAACTAAATATTCATTTTTTTATATTTTTCTTGGAGGAGTTTCAGTAAGTAAATAGCTTGATATTCCAAATTAAGGAATGTAGTGGTGTTGGTTGGTTGATAGATTAAGAAATCATTAAGGAACATCAACATTCTAGATCTGATATGATATGATATTACATGGAAGTGACGTGGCAAGAAACAACGACATAAGTCAAAAAACAGTCCAAACACTCTAAGACAGGTTGAATTATCAATTAACAGTATCTATTTAATTTATCTGATACTGTTATTCATATCGGATCGATAGTCGCAATTAGAATTGGCATTTAACGACTGAAGAAGTTATTATTTTTAATATGTAATTAAATACACTTGTTTTGTTATCCGAAATTGATAAGAGAAGCTCTGTTGTGTGCCGTTTGGAGGGAGAGCCATGCCGTTTTTACGACGACTCTGCTCTTCTGCGCCTGTCTTCCATCCCGCTGGATACCGGCCCTTTGTCATGAACGACGCTCTTTTTTAGGCTTTAGCTACCCAACAAAACTCGAATTTTCCAAGCTAATTCTGCGTACGAAACGAGATTCCGGGGAGAAAAAGGAAAGACAGAGGATTACCATTACCCAGAAAGAAAGACGGTAGCCCAGATAAGAGAAAAGAAAAGGGAAAACCAGACCAAAAAGAAGAGCGCAGGGGCAAAAGCAAAGCGTGCAACGGTCTAAAGCAAAGGCAGCGCGGAGTCGAGCAATCATTTTGGCTTCTCACTCACGGGGAACGGCCCCTCTTCTTCCTCTTCGTCTCTGCCTTTACTTTCTGTTTTCCTTTCGGGAAATTCTTGTTTTTTTTTTTAAGTTTTAAATAAGAGGGAGAGAGAGCTACTGCAGCTGCGACGGACCAAAAGGGAATCTGAGCTGCCGAATGACTCTACTTTCCCTTCCCTTTTGAGCTAGCTCCTCCTTGCAAAGTTATGGCTGACGACGATCTCTGTTGCTTCCCTAAGGTCTTTTTTCTCAATCTCAATCTCCTCACCTTCTATTTATTAATAATTCAGCTTCCTTTTTCATTGATGGGTACTGACAAGTGCTTTTCTTTTCTTCTGATGATGTTGAGTGCTGTTAGTTTAAATTCAGTGTTTGTAGATGGTTGCATGTCTTCCTTCATACTGCCTGATCTGGTTTATATGTTGCTAATGCTTTGCTTTTCCAACGTTTCCGGGTTTTATGTTTTCAGCTTTCAAGCACTTCCCGTCAATCCTTTTCATGGAGGATTTTATGGGCTCTATTTGTTTGTAGTGAAGTGTGGATCTTTCCTAGAAAAATAGGAAAGCCCCGTCTGAAATGTTCTACCTTTCTTCAGATTTAGAGTTATTCACTTCTGGGTTTTGCTTATGGAGCTGAGTGCTCCTTGGTTGGTTGTGTAAGGTGCCTTTCTGGTTATGTAGGCTTCAGCAAAGCTTTAACTTATGGGTCATATTCATGCTCGGCAGGATTCTTTCCTTGGTAAAGCACCTAAGAAGTCCCCATTGCTCTTGAGAATGGTTGTTGTGGTGCTTCTAATGGCCTGCAGCCTGTACATATCATCAGTCTGTCTCAAGCAAGTTGGTATTGTCAGTGTCAACAGCCCGGGGATTATCAAGATTGTTGAAAAGCATTGTCCGGTGCCTAATATTGAGCCATGGGAGATACCATATGTGCATTACCCGAAACCCAAGATGTATAGTAGGTAAAAGAACACATCATAACTTATCTGGCTTTGAGTTCAAGCTCAGCAATGTGAATTCTAGTGATGGGGCTTTTTGGGTGCATGTAGGGCAGAATGCGAGTGCAGCCCTGTCCGGTATTTTGCAATTTTGTCAATGCAGAGGTCTGGAAGTGGATGGTTTGAGACTTTGTTGAACAACCATACTAATATAAGCTCAAATGGAGAGATTTTCTCTGTTAAAATACGGAGGAGAAATGTGTCGACCATTGTTGAGACTTTGGACAGAGTCTTTAACTTAGACTGGTTGAGTAGTGCCTCTAAGAATGAGTGCACGGCTGCAGTGGGATTCAAGTGGATGCTTAATCAGGTGAGAGTGTTGCAAGTTAAAAGTTATGATTTCCTACTTTCAACTACTACACCCCCTTTTTCTACTATTTGTGCCCTTAATGTTCATTGCACTACATTTTTTAGCATATAATGTGCTTGAGCTAGTGTAATAGATTGAACATCCCTCTTGGCATTCACCTGATGGTTTAATGCATTGGCTGCTCATAGTCAGTCGACCTGGTTGCTTAGTTAACAGCTTTAAGGCATTTACCATATGGAGGTTAACGAAGAGCAATCCAATTCACCCTTAACCAGCTGGTGTTAACGGTTAATGTGCTTTTCTGATTGCTTGAATCTTCTTGAATAGAGAACCTCAAAGGTAGATGAAAAGTAAAGGAAAGTGCTGAATGATTGAATCTTGGAACGGGATCTGTTACTTTGTACATGGCACATTGCACGTATAGAGCCTGAGTTGAGTTCCCTCTCTTTGACACCTTTTGTTAACCTACACAAAACAGAGTCCCTTTCTGATCGTCTACTGGTTCTGTTTTCCATCTTGTTTTACTTATATGGTAGTGGGTGCAACATATTCCGCCACATAAGTATCATAGGGGTGGTTATTATTGTCTTGTTAGTTTCAAGAGATTGTGTGAAATATTAGGCAGATTCAAGTTTTCAGAAGCATGTCTACAACTACAAGACCAGTAAGGTCAAGTACCCTGCTAAGTTGGATAGTATTGAAGTTTGCATTGGTGTTGAATGTGAAATTTGACCTTAATGTATGGTTCAATTACTTGTTGTCTACAGTTGAGCAGTTAACCTTTAACAATTTTCAGTATTCCTTCATTTTTGTTTTACATTTCTCATCGTGCATTATTTTCTTCTTATCAAGGGTGTGATGCAACATCCTGACGAAGTTGTGGAGTACTTTAGAACTAGGGGGGTTTCAGCTATCTTCCTCTTCCGGAGAAATCGCTTGCGCCGAATGATTTCCGTACTAGCAAATGAATATGATCGAGAGGCAAAGCTGTTGAACGGGACCCACAAGTCGCACGTCCATTCACCTCACGAGGTACTCCACACTCCTGCTTTACTGACGACCATCTTCTCCATACTTTATTTGACAGAATCTCATTTCAGGCAGAGATACTAGCTAGGTACAAGCCCTTAATCAACACAACCCTGCTGATTCACAACCTGAAGCAAGTAGAGAATATAACTGCACAAGCCTTGGAGTACTTCAAAAGCACCAGACACATGATTCTTTACTACGAAGACATAGTAAAGAATCACACTGTAAGCAGGGAGCCATTTCATCAGCAAATGTGACACCAAAGCTGTGCATGATTCATGGGAGACTGAAGTCTTTATTCTTTTGTTTGCAGAAACTGTATGAAGTCCTAGACTTTCTGAAGGTTCCGCAGAGAGAGCTGAAGAGCCGGCAAGTGAAGATTCACAAAGGATCCTTATCGAATCATGTTGAGAACTGGGAGGAAGTCCAAGCGGCACTACAAGGAACACAATATAAAGCCTTCCTCGATATAGATTACTAGTAACTGTATTGTACATAAGACATCCCTTTCTTTCTTTTCCCTTTTCAAGTTTCCTCACCCTTTTGTCATGATAGGTATAGAGGTTTTACATGCCTAGCCTTCTTCCTGTTGAGAAATTTTGGTTTTTCAGATGTGGGGTTTCTTTATATGGTCGACAGACATTCCGGAGTAAAGTTAACATTATATTCATTCTTTACAGAAGAAGCTCATTGTACCAGAGATTATCAGAAGTAAGGAATACGAGGCACTGCCAGTTTTAACTTCGCACTGCTCTTACTTCGTTTTTATGTAAGATATTCTTGTGTGGCAATGAGACTTCTGAAACGGATGATCAGAAGTGGAACATGTGCAGTTGGTATTGTACTTGGGGACTAACTAAGTAGCAATACTCAGCTGCTGAATATGCCAGCAAGTTATCTTGTCTTTGTAGGCACGGCAAGACCAAATACCCAGAACCCCGTGATGTAATTCTGTCTTGCTGTTGGACATAGATACTAACAAAAGAACACCAAGAAATGCTCAAAGAATTTCAAGTAATATGGACTACAGGCTTGCATTGCACCTACCTGACCTCCAAAGTCGTCTCCCGGGGAAAAAGGAAAAGCAAAGGAAATCTGCCCTTTTCAAAGTCGATGTCTTCAACATGCTTGCATACGACTGACTCTTTTGCAATTTGCATCCGCAGCTGACTCTTCCAGCTGCCAACGTTCTTTTTTCCCCTTTTAAAAAATGGTATGACTTTTTTTCTTCTTTTCTACAGTGTTGCTGTTTTGGGTTGGAGGGCTTTGTAGCAATCTGACTTTGCATATTTTCCAAAGAAAGGAAAAATGGAAAGCACTTGATTTTGGTAAGGTGGTGGGGAGGGAGCAGGTGAATTTATATGTGAAAGGGGTGGAGCAGCTCGTAGGTCCTGTCCTTCCCACCTCCAGCTCTAAGCCCGTTAAACGATTAGTTGTAGGGAACTGAAATAATCATCATAACTAGTTACAGGTCCGGTCAGTTGTCCGGGATGCATTTCATCAATTGCATAATCTACAGTATAATTAGTATTTTGAGATATGGATTTTTGAGTTTTCCAAATATTCAAAACATTCAAAAGGATTGGTAGTATAAGAGAATCCAAATTATTAAAATACTTGTTATAAAAAAAAATTATTAAGATACTCGAACCATTTTAAATGATCAACTTCATAGTATTTTTCGAGATTCTAACTAACTCATAGAAAAACTTAAAATTTATTACTTTTTTTTGTCTATCCACATCATATTGAAGTAAATTTGAACTGAGAATTGTAATTCAAACGAAAAATAAATTTTCTTTGGCTGCAGTTTTTGTCACTCTCTATTGTTTGATTAATGTGAAATAGAATATTGTTGCATGCTTCGATCCCGGTATTTGATTCAAACTTGATGACCAATTTGTTTGGTCTATAAACTCGCACTGTTAGGCTGGTCTTGAAGTTCTTGATAGTGTAAACTATCTCTTCACGAAACAGAGGCGAAATGTGCTTGATTTTCCCTTTGGAAATTTGAACCAAAACATAATTACCCTTGAAAAAATTTGTCATATTAAGAATATTTAAGAACTTGAATCATAGAGTTGATTTTGCGTGGTTATTGTTAGTTTACCTTTGAGTCAATATATAATATCGAGAAGAAGAAGAATACATGTGTTGGGATTGTTTGCTTGCCACTTTCTTGGAACCCGACAGTAAAGAATCCAGTTTCTCTTTTGAGTTATCAGATCATGTATCAATTTGGATTGCATATTGACTATCATTCATTAAAAATATCGGTCCCAATTATATTGTTTCACAATGGATATCAGTCTAACTCATAAAATATGGTAATAACTAATAAGCACAATCTTAATGTAGGAAGTGTGTAATTAAAAAAACAACCATTAGCTCTTTCTAAAATAAGGATGTTATCATATCTAACTATGCATATTGTGTTCTTAATAAAATTTGGAAAGTAAATTTAAAATCACAATGGAAGATTTGTAGCACTTAAATGCAATTTAATCCTCTAAAAATCATGAATATACATGAATTGAAAAGATTAATTTCTACTACTAATACATACTAACATGTTAGAACGTAGAAAATTGTAAATGGGTCATTAGTAGGAAAACTATACTGAGGTTAGAAAAACATTAACAACGTTTCAATAGGAAACTTAAAGAGAAAGTATAATAGGAGTGACAATGACAAAAAAGAATGCATGCAATAATTCGTAAGCTAAAAAATTATCAATATGTGGATTAAGCATGTCAATAAGAGCATTCGATAAAAATAACCATAACAAATGTAAATAAAAATCAAAGTTATGAAGTATACCGTTTCATTGATTTTTACAATGAGTCGAATTTATATTATGAGAGTTTGTGAAATAAATTAATTGATTATTTTCAACTCAAATATTTTTCAATGTATGTAATCCAACGATCATTATAGATTGGTCACTAATCCGATTTGAAGATCATTATTGATTATCTTCATAGTAAAAAACGTATTTTCACAGCTTGCAGTTGCATCATATGCGTCAATTATAATTTTTAAAGGTGCGACAAAGATTATAGGTTCAAAATTTTATTATGACGAAACATGAAGTTTTCACCAAAATTTCAAGCGAAAGTGTACCCTCTCCCTCACCTAGGTCTGCTCCAAATAGGAGAAAGTAGTTATCAGCATAGTTAGGAAAATACGATATGAGAAAGGTAAGTATAAAATACGTACTGATATTTTAGTTCGTCTTTAAGCTAATGTTACGTTTAGTACGTTAATAGTCATAAATATGTAAAAATTAATTATTTTAAAAATATATAAATAATAGTAAAGTTTACAATTTAATTCATTAAATACGGATATTAATCGTGTTATACGGATTTTATACGTGTTTAGTACGGGAGCCATCAAATGAACAGAAAAAAAACTAAATAGTTTGAAAATAATACGAATACAAAAGTTTTAAACGGATAAAATACGTACGGATACATATACATGTATTAAACGGAGTATTTACTAACTAGGATTATCGGTCCGGGTTAATTTCAATGATGTTGGTGCACGGATGCAAATTAATTGAATTCAATTGGCTTCTTTTGCATGAAGCTCGATTGGAAATGGTATCTGGAAATAAGTAGAGAGTTAGCGCATTACACTTCTGTTTCTGTCGCCTGCTGCAATAATTAGAGGCCCATCTTAATCACTTGGGGAAAGACTAAACGATCCCTCCATGGATTGCTCAGAGAACAGGAAAAGGACTTCTGTTTCTGTCGCCTGCTGCAATAATTAGAGGCCCATCTTAATCACTTGGGGAAAGACTAAACGATCCCTCCATGGATTGCTCAGAGAACAGGAAAAGGGAGATTAAGGGGGTTACTGACAAGAATCTCTATAAAGTATTGTTAGGAGATTCATAAGAAGCGTGGATTTGTGACGCTCTCTCATCATCAGTACTTGTAAATTTACCTAAATCTTTTATTCGAGAATGTTTAGCTCGGAGCTATTAGGCCACTCTAGCTAGGTGAATCTATTGTGCTAGTTACATCTCATGGATTTGTGACGCTCTCTCATCATCAGTCCTTGTAAATTTACCTAAATCTTTTATTCGAGAATGTTTAGCTCGGAGCTATTAGGCTACTCTAGATAGGTGAATCTATTGTGCTAGTTACATCTCATCTTATTTATGTTTGAACTTATAGGTCTGAGAATTTATTGCGGTTGATTAAATTATAACATGATTAGACTCCAAATTGTTATATAGATGCGTCTGCGGGACGGAATTCTACATGCTAATACTTTTCCCGGACTTTATAATTGCTTTTTCGAAACTCTCAAGTAGTGGGTCTTCTTAATAGTGAGAACAACATCAAAATAGCTATGAAACTACCAAACTGAACAAAAGAATAATAAAAGAAAATGAAACATAAATTAAAATTAGGTTCCAATCTTCTCGTATGAAAGTCATTGCTTGATTGTACTCCTCTCGAATTGCGTCCAAGCGTGCCGAAATTTTCACTTTGACCAAATTATCCAAATACTAATAATTAAAATGATTATAGCTCAATCTGGTAACATAAATGCAGGAAGTTTGAAGTACAATTGCGTGCTGAAAAATATGGATCGAAGAGAACAACGATGATGAGTCAGCTGGCCGGCTAAATGATGTGGAAGTTAAGTTTTTGTTATTCCTTTTCATTTCCATGCATCGTCGACCAAGTACGAGTGGTACTTGGACTTGGCTGACGGATTCGGATACGGGTTATTGTTTGTAGTAATCTCTCTCTTAAATTCCATCTACCCAAAAAAGTTGTTAGGAAGGTTAAGTTGTGGCATCGGATGGTCCCAGCTGTCTTGCCCATTTCCAGACTTTCGCTTTTTTTTATAAAAAATAATTATATATATTGATTCGAATGATAGATCATTACATCCTGAAATTTAATCATACCAGAAAATCGAAGAAACGACACGTAGTCGGGTACATCAATGTAGTCAAAATCACGCTTTAAAACTTAAAAACTTATAATTTTACGTTTCTAGGTCACTAAAACGTTTCTACACAAAATCTCAGTTTTTATAACTTATGTAGTTAAAAACTCCGCTTTAAAACTTAAAAACTTACGATTTTACGCTTCTAGATCACCAAAACGTTTCTATGTAGAAACTCGCTTGTAACTACATTGGGTACATTAAAGGGTCTTTCTAGACACTAAATGGGCTGTCATATTACCACTCCAACCTACAGATCGCACATTAAGCCCAGTGTGAATAGTCAAATAGCGCACGACTTCCTCCAGGGATGACCTCTACCCAATTATCTCGGGTATCAGCCTGATTTATTTTATTAATGATTACTTTGGCATCTACTTCCAATCTCGTCTACGTAAACCCATTCTCCAGACACCAGAGAATAGCTTCCCGGTGAACGAGGAGCTCGACTATCATAGGATCATCAATATCACCAAACTGCACCCCTTTCGCCAAAAGGATCATCCCTCCTTGTTTCGTGATAATCATTCCCCCTGCTGAGTGTGACCCACTCTTAGTTGCTCCATCCCACATATAGATAACTGAAGTAGGGATCTCACCACCTAAGTAACTTGCTTGTGGGATGGATGACCGCACCACGCGGTCAACTGGAAAACTAATCCACTCCTGATATTGTTGGTGGAACTACCACATTAAAGTTGGATCCCAAATTATTTGTCTTCAAAGATAACCCAATTTCGTGACCGTCAGTTCCGCCAAATGACCGCGACAGCCGCCATAAATAGTTGAGGTTGATAAATAAGTACCATCAACTTTTTAAGGAAGAGGGAAAAA